TTATAAAGCACTTTGTAGAGTTGAATGGATAACCATATGAGACAAGCATCCTTGCAATAATGACAGTTGTAATTGGACTTTCTAACTCGCAATCCCACTACAAATTCTCGAAACGCTGACTCGTTTCTCAGTCAGTGCCATGATTGCTATGCATATTGCTATGGATGGGTTTCGAACCAGCAAGCTTCGAGTTACTGGATATCAATCTCCAGACTATAACATTTTGACGGATTATAGCTAATACTGTGTTATACGTACACGAATAAATTGCTATGCCAAAGTAGCGCTAGCTAACATTCTAATGATTATAAATAAAATAATTGCTAAAAAAATATGAATTGCGAAATATTAGGCAATCGAAAGAACAGGACTAATCGAATTGATGCAAGTAATGAATTCATTCAATAGGTTTTTTGTGATAGGTTCCTTGAATTATATTTTCAAACTGGATTTCAGTATTATATCGTTGCATGGTGTCAAAGAGTGTATGCCATTTTGAAAGAAGCGAGTCTAACTAAAAATCCTCAATGAGAATGCATGGAAATAAGCTACCGATAACGCTATTGTAATTGAATACGTTTTATACTTTCATAGCCAAAAATCACCCTTATTTAATATTTGTCGCGCTGTTTAAGTGTCGGAATAAACTAGGAAAAGTAATAACGTTTCAACGATTTACCACAGGTTACTCTCAATTGATCACATCTGAAACCAGATAAACACTGCTTGATTTTGTAATTGATAGAACAGCCAAAATGACTAGGAACATTCTCGAGCTTTATTGAAATGCAAATAAATGTTTTCAATAGAAGCCATAGAACAATACACTGCACGACACAGCAAAAGTAGGTAAATACCAAAAATAGTGAATCCATATCATGCGCACTGTCTCTGCATGCACGGGTATATGAAGTTATACTAGCAATGGCATGGATACTGCTTCGCTGTGGCTAAATCTTTTGGGCCCACATTGCCGCATAAGCGGGGGATAGTCGCTAGGATAAAATGTGAAAGGTGGACTATTTTAGCAATTGTACGTCTTCTCCTCTTCATTTAGAGAGGTTCAGATTCGACTTCAACTACGGCTACGTACCATTACCATTAAGGGATCCTAAACGAATCAGGTGCGTTTTATATAATCGATTTACCAATCTGATGGCTACTAAGCAAACCTGTAGCTGGCTCTCAATTTCTAGGGGGGCACTGCTGAAAAATTTAGCAGAGAGGATGTGTTTTTGTGCTAGTTTCCGCTGTCGCCGCACTGGAAAATTGGTAAAAATACGTTCTTCTAGACCGTGAAGAATATTAGATTTAACCTTTATTTCTTAAAATTTTAAAGTAAACATAGAAAATCAACTTTCTAGCTATAATAAATGAACTTAACCAACCAAACGGAAGTCACAGCAAATATAATCTGATTAATATTTTATACAAAAAAGGATATCGCCATTTTAAAGTAAATTGTAGGGTGATCAACTGTAGCTTCGGCAAAAAATGATTAAAATCAAGAAGAGCAAATTTTGTGGGTTTGGATGGAGGCATTATTTTAAATTTATTTCCGGATGGGGGGGGGGGCACTCCCCCCATGGGCTCCCCCCAGCTATGGGCTTGATACTAAGCCAATGACAGGTAGTGGTAGCGGTAGTAGAAGTTAAATTTGAAACTCTCGATTGCCTCTTTCAAGAGAATTCCTCATACATTTGAAGTCGGGATCCCGTGGCACAAAGTGGGGGCCTTCAGCAACTATGGACGACAAACCGATAACGCCGGCCAACAGTAACGCCTTTAAATAAATAACTTTAATGAAAATGTGTGGTGTATTATATAATGTATAAATTAAGGTATAAAGGTTTGTAGTTGATATATAGGACGTTTTACTAAGCCAATTCGCTGAGCATCACTTCGCACGCCTTGAAACGCTGCATAATAGCATGCTTCAAAAATTTTCTTTCGACACGTAGCAACGTACGTAGCTTAAACTGCTGTTTAACGTATTTTTTAAGGTTTTCGAAAATTTATGCTTGAGAATAAGTCCTTGTTTCCTGTATTTATATATTTGAACGTATATTTTTTTCGAAATATTGCTGAATATATGCCGAGCTTTTGAAACTAAACATTTAGCACTGATTTTTTGACACATATGTCAAAGAAATTTTTGTTCTTTTCGCATTTAGGTCAGAAAAACGAACATTTTGGGATGGATACTAAATCCACTCAAGTTAGTTCAGCTATTTTTTCTCTCTTTAGCATCGGTAGGGTTTTTTCAACTTGTTGGATAATTTTTAAATCTGTTCGTTCACTGCAACCAGGTATATCAATCATGTTTGCATATAAATATGAGTAATCATGATGCTTTGAATAGAGATGACGGTGCTTATTTGCCAGAGGAATACATGCATCTCATTGGCAGGTGTCGTCATCCCTGGGGTATTTAAGAAGCCACGATTGTAACTTTAGGTCACCCCTGACGAAGACAATAGACTGGAGTGTCGAAAAGTTGGGTCTTGATTACAATTCGACTGGGCTTTGTAATAATTTATTTAGACCAGAGAGGCGAGCGAAACATGATTGTTGGATAATTGTTCGAGTTAGAAAATTGTTTCACTTCCCGGTTTGTTTTGGCACGAAACTCAAGAAGTCCGTAACATGTGTAAGAGGTTACCATATCTTGTGATACGGACTTCTTGTCAACCAATCAGAAGGCCCCATTTACGCTATACGAACCTGGATTTACGGACCGGAGATATAAAACAAAGAATTTATACCATTTTGGTCGTTCCTTGCCAAGAAGTATTCTCAGAAGCATCCTTCCGCCTTTCAGTTATGGTTATATTTTCAGTTAAGAACTCCAAGCCGATAAGTAACAAATATATCATATATGAATTTTTGGTTGATGCTCGTTGCATGAAACAGTGTTTTTAGCACTAAGTTGGTTTAACATTATTTTCTTGTTGCATGAAACAATGTTTTTAGCACTAAGTTGGTTTAACATTATTTTCTTGTTGCATGAAACAATGTTTTTAGCACTAAGTTGGTTTAACATTATTTTCTTGTTTTTAGATTCATGTTATTTTCTTTGAAGTCGATCTTACTCAAAGTCTCAAACAGACATTCAAGATAATTGACTGGTTGCAACATGTACTATATATACATTGCAAGAGGAAATGGCCTCGAATCTGGGATAATCATGATGACGTACATGATCTGCTTGTGTGATAAATGATATCACCAAGTTTCTGAGTTGAAAGGAACAAATTAATACGGATTTTCTAAATCATATAACTACTTCCCAAAATCTGTCATCTTTCTGAAAAGCTAAATGAACTGTGACCATGAAATATTAAAGAAAATTTTGTATATACCTGGAGATATACTATAGAACCTAAAGGACAAGAAACAAATAAATAGGCTTTGAGATATTTTGTTGCTTAGATGGAACATCCGCAGAAACAAGAAAGAAGCATATTTGTGGTTCCCTGTTTTCAGAACATCAAAATATTGTGTCAGAAAGTAGCTTAAGAAAGAAACAACATGCATATCCGTTCATAACCCTTTAAAGGTGCCCTACAGTCCGTATGTAAACAAAGCCTTTGTTTACATTTTTGTGTCCAAAATATTGAGCTTTACTCGACAACTATTTATATTTTCAAGCTTCTAGAGTATAATAAATGATCAAGAAACAACAATCAGGCTTTGCAAGAACCCAAAACATAGTTAAACTGTTTGTATCATAAAAAGTGGGCTGCTTTGTGCACATGCGCAGATCGGGCTGTAGAGCACCTTTAAGCTATATGCTACTTTATTATTTTATTTTGTCTAATGTCAGACGATTTTACTCATCAGGTGCTGTCGCTGCATGTATGGGTTAATTAATTTATAACATTCACACAAGAATGTCCATTTAAAGAGTGATTGTCAACCACAATGCATTTGTTTACATCTTAGCTTCGCAAGTAACAAATAGCAACAAATCACGATTATAAACATTTCTTTGGTGCAATTTTAATATGCAAAAGTTAATATGAGCAAGTATAACCATAGGCTGGTAGTAATATATTATGGATTGAAAACCGAAACATCTATTATTCCGCCATTAAAATGGCCGCCAAGCAGGTTTGCGCGCACAATACATTGTGGTTGACAATGATTCTTTAAATACTCCTTCAACACTTGGAGCCATCTCGCAAATTGCCCAAATTCTGATATTATGCACACGGTTTCTCAAGATATAACGGTCTGGAGGCTTGGTAAACTTCAAAACCATAAAATAGAACGCATTGATTTGATGTTGTTTGATTGAACTCAAACACCGTGGCTTTAGAACGTCGTATTTATGCCACTTTTTCGAAATAAAATGGTTGAGCAATTTAGAGAGACAGTTTTAGAGCGAAAATTTGACGAGAAAGTTAATTGATTCAATCGCCGAACTGCGGAAGGCTCGAAGCACGCGCCTACAACTAAAAACCCATCATCTCGAAAGCGAGAGTTTATAGAGTGAGAGTTTATAGAGTGAGAAAGTGTTTATTGAGTGTTGTCCATTGAACAATCCTGCTACCATTGTATCTCGTGATTTGAAGAAAGTTAGAATAGTAAGTTGGTATGTGCTGTATTGATTCTTCGTCTTTTATATTTATGAAACTCTACTGAATATTAATTTATGAGTTGCGTTGACTTGGTCTAATAAACCGTTCGATAGACTGGCTTATATCGGGGAGTTTTCGTTTTGGAAACGAAATTAGCTGGCGGCGAAATGTTACGACAATGTTTGTTGTTTTACTTTGTCCTAACTTTGGCTAATTCTGTGGTTGCATTGGCATTTTTATCGGGGCAAGTTTCTTGACCATCATCGAAGAACAAACTGATCATAGTTTGCACAACGATAATTACACGCTTGGCGGTCATGGCTTATTGTCTTCCTGGTCATGCAATGTTGAAACAACATTGTTTGTTTATGCTATACGGGCACTTTACATCTTACATTCCTGAGACAATCGAAGAATATGAGGCATGGGCGCCCGTGTGTTTATTATAATAACACTACAGCAACATTTCGTACTCTACTTATTGGTGATCTAGTCTTTGAACTAAATCCTGGTCCTACTCGCAGCAAAATTTCACCCATTGCATCCGTGCGTCATAGCTATAGGCCTTTCAGGCCAACAACATCTCGCGATGCGGAGCAATCGTCACGCCTTTCGTCGCGTAACACTAATAATTTAATCACTGTGAATTGTTCTAATTACCTGAATGTACATTACCAATCATTAAAATTCTGTGTATTAAATGCTCGTTCAGTAAGAAATAAGACCGCTGACATTTTGGACTACATCTGTGAATGCAAGCTGGATGTTGTTGGTATAACCGAGTCCTGGCTGAGCTCTGATGACGCAGCTGTCCGAACAGAATTATGTCCTGATGGCTACAAATTTCTGGATCACCCACGCGACGGGCTGCGCGGTGGCGGGACAGGTCTAATATATCGAGACTTGTTGTGTGCAAAAAAGTTAGATGCAGGAATAAAACGTTCGTTTGAATTTTCTGAATGGTCTGTTACAACATCCAGTCACAAATTCCACATCGTTGTGCTTTATCGCCCACCGTACTCTAGTGAGCATAACGTGCCCATGAGCGTCTTTTTCAATGAATTTTCGAACTATCTAGAGTCTCTTCTGTTGTCTAAGGAGCCTCTTTTGATCTCTGGTGATTTGAACATACACATTGATGATGCTGCAGATGCCGATTCTTTTAAATTTCAGGATCTGCTTGAGTCGGTTGGTCTCCGGCAACATGTTACCCAGGCCACACATACCCATGGCCATACCCTTGATCTTATAATCACACGTTACTCTGATCAGATCATAATGAATCAACCGTATGTAGACCGTTTTATTTCTGACCATATATGCTCCTGTTATCTGCGATCTATTACCAGCCAAACCAGTTATGTCAATCAAAAGAGTTAGTTACAGGAAATTAAAATGTGTGAACATGACTTTTCTAAACCAAGATCTGGCTGCTACAGCATTGTATGCGACCTGTCGTGGTGAACCAACAAATCTGCTGCCAGATGACGTGGATGCGCTGGCACGTGATTACAACGAAACTCTGTCGTGCGAAACTAACTGTCATGCACCATTAAAGACCAAAAGTGTAAGAGGGAGGGCATCGGCGCCTTTGTACAACGGTGAAATCAATGCTGCAAAACGACTTCGCAGAAAGGCCGAAAGAATTTGGCGCAAGAGCAAATTTTTGTCTGACTTTAATCAGTTTAAGGTTAAACGAAATCGAGTGACATACCTTATGAATGAAGCGAGGAGAACGTTTTACACTAATTTCATAAAAGAAAATAGCGACAACCAAGGAAAGCTGTTTAGAGCCGCAAATAAGTTGTTGGTAGCGAAGGACGAGCTGTGTTTTCCGAATTATCACAACAATACGGCCCTGGCTACAGATATTGGCGAATTCTTTGTGCGAAAGATCTCAAGAATACGGTCTGATATTGATGCTATGGTCGTTGACTCCTCTGTAAGTGATTTAGTGCCAGATGATCGGGTAGTGAATAAAGACATAGCATTGAATTCTTTTCGGTGTTTAACTGAAAATGAAGTCCAAGATCTTATCCAGGAGTCAACAAAAAAGTCATGTGCGCTAGATCCTATGCCTACGTCTTTGGTTATCCGTTTAACCCCATTACGTCCTGTGATTACACATATCATCAACTCCTCACTGCTCACTGGCCATTTCCCTGACAAATGGAAGGAAGCACTTGTCAAACCTCTTATTAAGAAAAAGGGGCTCGATGCTTTGTTCACCAACCTTCGACCTATCAGCAACTTACAGTATATTTCTACGTTGACTGAAAGGGCAGTCTATGACCAAACCTACCACCATATGATGACTCGCGAACTTTTCCCTCTACTCCAATCTGCATATAGAAAGGGTCACAGTACAGAGACAGCGCTTCTGACAGTGCAGAATGATATTTTAATGAACATGGATCGACAACAGGTGACTCTTCTTGTGCTCCTTGATCTCAGCGCGGCTATTGACACCGTGGAATTCTTCCTTTCGGCCTTAGCGCACTTGCCTTTCACCTCTAAGGTCGCAGGTTCGAATCTCAGTGAGAACTTCTCAATGTGACTCGAACCCAGTCCTCATGTGAAAAGAGTAAAAAGTCAACGCTCTGCCGAAAGTCGTGGGTTTTCTCCGGGCACTCCGTGTTTCCTCCCACGGGGAAAGTTGACAGGGTGGGTTAGGCACATAGGTCTGGAGGCAGATCATTAATGAGGTATGGACTAATAGCGGCAGCTGCTCAAGCGCCATTTGTAAGCTCAAAGTCTACCTCGGTCTGCTTCACGTCAGTCCGGTTCTATCTATCTATTCATAATGTAACCAGTCACTGAAAAGCCCTGATATAGGGAGTGCGCTGTGAAATATCTGTATCTATCTGTAACCTCTTTTGGTAAAACTGGTACTGTTCTGGAGTGGTTTAAATCGTATCTTACAAACAGGTCTCAACGTGTTGTGTTTGGTGAGAGACAGTCGAAACGTTTTCAGCTTCCATATGGCGTGCCACAGGGTTCCTGCCTAGGCCCCTTGTTGTTTACTGTTTACTCTAGTAAGCTGTTTGACATAATTAAGAAATATCTACCAACAGTACACGCATTTGCGGATGATACACAGCTTTACTTGTCATTTCAACCAAACAGCAGAACAAGTGAGGCGGAGCCAATCGAAGCGATGGAGTTGTGTATAAAGGCTCTTCGGGCATGGATGATTACAGATAAGATGAAACTGAACGACGACAAGACAGAGTTCATGTTATTGGGTACCCACCAGCAGCTTAGCAAAGTATGCATCGAGAAGTTGTTTGTTGGTGACGTCACCGTGATCCCAGTTTCTGTTTCTCGGAATTTGGGAGTATGGTTTGATTCTCACATGAGTTATGTGACACACATAAATAAAACATGTAAAGCTGCGTTTTTCCACCTTCACAACATCAGAAGAATAAGAAAGTTTCTCTCAAACGAGGCAGCTCAGACATTGGTTCATGCATATGTGATGGGAAAACTTGACTATTGTAACAGTTTACTTTTTGGGTTACCTGATAAACAGATAAAGAAGCTGCAGCGTGTGCAGAATGCGGCTGCCTGGTTGATTTCATATACTCCACGGTTTGGACATATAACTCCAGTGTTGCGTACATTACATTGGCTTCCAATTAGATTTAGGATAGAATTTAAAATGTTAGTTATAATATTTAAATCTATACATGGTTTATCACCTGTGTACATAAGTGATCTTATAAGTACGAAACTACAGAGTAAATACTGTCTGCGATCAAATAATGAACTGTTACTTGCGCCGAAAGTAACTAAAACGAAGAAGACTCTTGGAGATAGAGCTTTCACCGCAGCTGCACCAAAACTTTTTAATGAACTTCCCCGAGAAATACGTACTGTGACCAACCTCAATCATTTTAAAACACTTATTAAGACATTTTTATTTAGGAAAGCATATGACATTGTCTAATTGTCTAGCTATATATATATATATATATATATATATATATATATATATATATATATATATATATATATATATATATATATATATATATATATATATATATATATATATATATATATATATATATATATATATAGTATATATATATATATATATATATATATATATATATATACTATATAGTATATACAATATAGTATATACAATATAGTATATACTATATATATATATATATATATATATATATATATATATATATATATATATATATATATATATATATATATATATATATATATATATATATATAAAGCGTAGCACAAACGCCCAGATTCAACCAGAAGTAAAATCTTCTTGTCTTGCCAAACCTGAAGTTCAGGCCCTAATTTGAAATAGGGCTTGACACAAAACCTGTCTAGACCGTGGGACGCCCACATGTTATTTTTAGACACACATGCAATATGATTGACAAGTGTTGTAGATTTCGTTACACAAAAAAATTATATTCTCATGAACATGTCCGCAGAGTGTGCATTTTGCTTTTTAATTAAACTTAAAAATTCAAGGTACTTTTATATAATTAAGAGTCAGTTTCTCTATTTAACCGAACAGCAAACAAATATTTAATTAGTCAGTTCTGTGCACGGCTTGACTGCCAAGCTTTCTCAAGGTCTCAACTTGCTGGCCGCGGATATACTCTAACGACTAACGGGCTAACAACAGCAACAATTAAATTCTCAATCGTACCACGAAGAAGGCGATGTAGCTCAGAAAACAACGCCGGTAGGACCTGATATTAAAAATAAGACTTTTGCTGGCGAAGCCAGTTGGCAGAACATCTAAGTTGGCTGTCAACAACAAGCTTTCGAATACATGACTAGTTTGGCTGTTCTTTCAGCGTGTGTGTCCAAAATTCGTCAAAGATTTTGATAAAGCCCTTTCAAAATACTGTTTGTTTGATTTATTTTCTGCCATAAAGCATAAAAGAAAAGAAATTCGAAGAAATCGATAATGGAATTTGTTACGTGCGTTTGACCTTTATATTAGAGACCTTAAGATTGACGTTTACGGCAAACGGCAAACCGCTAGCGAAGTTTTTGATTTTACAACTCTATTATAATAGCTTTTACACCAGTTTTGAAATATGTTAAATTTATTAAACTTGTGCTCTTTAGCAATGATTTAAGAAAGCAAATTAACCACTAGTCATGCCATTCACCAAAGCAGTAAATTAAGATTTGGCGTTTGAAGTTGGCGTTTGGCGTATAAATTTCATGCTTGAACTGCTACGAGTGCTTGTAGTCGTTAAAGCATGAAATTTATACGCCAAACGTCAACTTCAAACGCCAAATCTTAATTTACTGCTTTAGTGAATGGCATGA